ATGCGATGAATTTCCCTCTTAGTACCACTTTTGCTGCATCCCATATGAATTGGTATGATATGTTTTCATTTTCGTTTGTCTCCAGATTTTTTTTATTTCTTCTTTAATTTCTTCAATGATCCATTTGTTGTTCAATAGCATGTTGTTTAGTCTTCACATCTTTGTCCTTTTCTCAGCTTTTTTCTTGTAATTAACTTCTAGCTTTATAGCATTGTGGTCAGAAAACATGCTTGTTATTATTTCAGTCTTCTTAAATTTATTGAGGCTTGCCTTGTTTCCCAACATATGGTCTATCCTTGAGAATGTTCCGTGTGAACTTGAGAAGAATGTGTTTTTGGATGATGTGTTCTATATATGTCTATTAAGTCCACCTGGTGTAGCTTTTCATTTAATTCCATTGTTTCCTTATTGATTTTCTGTGTGGATGATTTATCCATTGATGTGAGTGGAGTGTTGAGGTCCCCTACTATTATGTTATTATTAATATCTCCTTTTAGGTTTGTTAATAATTGCTTTATGTACTTTGATGCTCCTGTGTTGGGATGCATATGTATTTGTAAGTGTTAGGTCTTCTTGATGGAGTGTCCCTTTGATCATCATATGCTGCCTCTCTTTGTCTCTCTTTACCTGTCTTATCTTGAAGTCTACTTTGTCTGATACAAGTATTGTGACACCTGCTTTCTTTTGTTTTCCATTAGCTTGGAGTATTGTCTTCCATCCCTTCACTCTGAGCCTGTGTTTGTCTTGGAGCTGAGATGTGTTTCCTGGAGGCAGCATATTGTTGGGTCTTGTTCTTTAATCCATCTCGCCACTCTGTGTCTTTTTATTGGGGAATTCAGTCTATTTACATTTACAGTGATTATCAATATATGAGGGCTTAATGCTGCCATTTTTATCACTCGTTTTCTGGTTCTCCTGCATTTCCTTTGTTTCTGGTCCCGTGTGTTTCAGTCTACCAATTGAGTTATGTAGTTTTTTATGTTCTTTGTTTTGTGTCTCTGTTCTACTTTTTTTGCTTAGTGGTTACCATGAGATTTGTATTCAAAATCTCGTAGATAAGATAGTCTGATGGCCTCTTATTTCCTTAGACTAAACCGATTCAGTCCCTTTCCTCTTTCCCTCCTAAGTTGTTTTTCTCACATCGTATTCCATCTTGTGTTGTGAGTTTGTGGTTAAAATGACAAGATTATCTTTGTTTTTAGTGTTTTCCTTCCCTTTTATCTTTAATGTTATACTTGAGTATTTGCTAACCTGTTCTGATGGATAGCTACAATTTTCTGATTTTGTCTACCTATTTATCTCCTTACTCTGCTTTGTAACCCCTTTCCTCCCCCTTTTTTTTTTTCAGGTTTGAGGGCCTTCTTGAGGATTTCTTGTAGTTGGGGTCTTGTGGCTACGAACTCCCTTATCTTTTGTTTATCTGGGAAAGTTTTTATTTTTCCATCATATCTGAAGGATATTTTCACTGGATAGAGTATTCTTGGCTGCAAGTTTTTGTCCTTCAAAGATTTGAATATGTCATTCCAGTCTCTCCTAGCCTGTAAGGTTCCTGCAGAGAAATCCGCTGAAAGCCTGACAGTGGTTCCTTTGTAGGTTATTTTCTTCTGCCTTTCTGCCCTTAGTATTTTTTCTTTGTCATTCACTTTTGCCAGTTTCACTACTATATGCCTTGCAGTAGGTCTTTTTACGTTGACATATTTAGGAGATCGGGCAGCTTCTTTCACGTGAATTTCCAGCTCCTTCCCCAGCTTTGGGAAGTTCTCTGCTCTTATTTCTCTGAACAAGCTTTCTGCCCCCTTCTTCTCTTCCCCCTCTGGAATACCTATAATTCTTATGCTGTGTTTCCTAATTGAGTCGGATGTTTCTTAGAGACTTTCTTCATTTCTTTTTAGTCTTAGTTCTCTCTCCTCCTCTATCTGTAGCATTTCAACATGTCTATCCTCAATTATGCTGATTCACTCCTCTAGGGCGTCCGCTCGAGTGGTCAGGAAATCCATCTTTTGTTTTATCTCATCAGTTGTGTCTTTTATCTCCAATATTTCTGACTGGTTCTTCTTTATAGTTTCAGTCTCTTTTCTGAATTAGCTCTGACCTTGTTGAATTGTTTCTCTCCATTCTCTTTTAACTTGTTGAGTTTTTTGGTGATAGCTATTTTGAATTCTCTGTCATTTAGATTACGTATTTCTGTGTCTTCAGGGCTGATTTCTGGGTACTTGTCATTTTCTCTCTGGTCTGGAGATTTAATACAATTTTTGATACTGCTAGAGGGCTTTTTTCTTTCACATCCTGGTATTATTTGATCGCAGCTACTACCTATTGCCCCAGGTGGGGGGTCAAGAGCCGCGTGTTCTGAGCCCTCTGAGTTCCACTGGGATCGCAGGCACTGGACCTGGTGCTGAGCGGGTGGTGGGGAGGGGCACTTTCTCCTGCGTGCTTTTGTGCTTTCTGGGTTTTCTCGCTCTGTTCTCCCTATCTGCTCTGCTGTGGTGTTGGCTTGATGAGGTCACCCCCTGCAATAGCTTTCGCCCCAGTAGGGGGCTTCCTCGGAGGCTGCCACAGACCTCAGGGATCTTTGATGTTCCCTCCAGCGGGCGTGCCCTCCCCCTCCTTCCCTCTTGCAGGCCAAGCACAGTCTTCTGTGGAGGGAGCGAAGTTTTCTCTTACATGCTTCCGCCTCATCCTGGGGGGCCTCCAGCACCTCCACCCTCTGACATGTGGCTGCATGGGTCTCTCACACATCTTTTGCGTTGTGTGGATTCCTCTGTTGGAATATGAGTGTCTTTTTGTTGTACGGTGGAGAGGAGAGGTCACCGGGAGAGCTCGCTCTGCCATGATGCTGACGTCACTCTCCTGGCTCATTTTTTGATTTGGTCATTTATTTACTTATTAGAATTTTGAGTGTTCACTATATATTCTCAATAAAAGTTTTTTGTCAGAGGTGTGATTTGCAGATACCTTTGCCTAGTCTGTGACTTTTCTTCTCATTCCAGCAGTGTCTTTTGGAGGGCAAAAATTTTCTTTGCCCTTTTTCTGTTGAGTTTTTTGAACTTTTTATTCCTTGATTTTTATGAGCTCTTATCTATAATGTAATTACATGCATTTCCTTCGTAGTTTGACATTTATCTTCCACTTTGTGTATAGGATATTCTACAATGCAGAAGTGTTTCATGTTGTCAAGTTTCTCAATTTCTTATTTTATTGTACCAGGATTCTGAGTCATAGAAAGAATCTTCCCACACTCAGGTTATAAAGACATTTTTATATTTTCTTCTAGAACTTTGTCTTGTTTTTTACATTTAGATCCCCGATAAGCGTGGAGTTATTTGGGAGCAGAGGGTGCAGCTTAGATCCAATTTAATTAAATATTTTTCTTTAAAGCTGCCCAGTTGTCCTGACATCATTCATTGATAAGATCTTCTTTTTCGTAGTGGTTTGATAAACTACCTTCATCAGAAAGTGTGTTTCTGGCCTTTCTTTTGGCTTGTTGGTCTATCCGTGGACCAGTACCACACTGTTTTAACCGTAGAGGCTTAATGTACCTTGTACTATCTGGTAGGGCTGGAACCTCTCGTTGATCTTGTTCAGAGTTCTCCCAGACATTCTTGCATATTTATTTTTCTGTATGAACTTTAAAATCATCTTGTCCAGATCCAGGAAAAAAGATGCTTTTATTGGGATACTTTTATACATTAGCACATTAAGAGAGAATTGACATCTTTTTTTTTTTTTTTTATTAATGTTATGATAGATTACAACCTTGTGAGATTTCAGTTGTACATTTTTGTTAGTCATGTTGTGGGTACACCACTTCCCCCTTTGTGCCCTCCCCCCACCCCCCCTTTTCCCTGGTAACCACCGATCAGATCTCCTTGTCAATATACTAACTTCCACCTATGAGTGGAGTCATATAGAGTTCGTCTTTCTCTGACTGGCTTATTTCGCTTAACATAATACCCTCGAGGTCCATCCACATTGCTGTAAATGGGCCAATTTTGTCTTTTTTTATGGCTGAGTAGTATTCCATTGTGTATATATACCATATCTTCTTTATCCAATCATCAGTTTCTGGGCATGTAGGTTGGTTCCACGTCTTGGCTATTGTAAATAATGCTGCGATGAACATAGGGGTGCAAGGGACTCTTGGGATTTCTGATTTCAGGTTCTTAGGATAGATACCCAGTAATGGGATGGCTGGGTCATAGGGTATTTCTATTTTTAACTTTTTGAGAAATCTCCATACTGTTTTCCATAGTGGCTGTACCAGTTTGCATTCCCACCAACAGTGTATGAGGGTTCCTTTTTCTCCACAACCTCTCCAACATTTGGAGAATTGACATCTTCTTGAGGTTGAGTTGTCCTATCTGAGAACAAGGGCTGTCTTTCCTTGGTCTGAGTGTGTTTTGTTTTTTTGTGCAGGTTTTTAGTTTCCTACACCAGCCATAGCCCCCAGCTGTGGCCACAGGTCGAGATGGCTGTCATACTCTGAGGCACAGAGAGGCCTCATTGCCATCACACTCATGCAGCACTACAGGGTGTGAGGCAGAGGGTGCTGCAGGTGACATGCCTTCTTCCATCTCATATGAGACGTATGACGAGTGTCAGAGAAACGAGACTCACAGTGAGCACATGGAGGGCCAGAGCAGCCAGTGCCATCACTAGAAGGAGTTGAGATGATTCTCAGGTCGGATCTCCTGGCTGCAGTGTTGGAGCTTATGTTCCAGCCTGTCCGCTGGTGGTCCCCACATACCTTGTTCCTCCACCTCCTTCTCCCAAAAAGCAATTAGGCCTCTGACATTCTGGCGCCTTTGTTAAATTACTAGTACTCCGCAAACTTTCTCTGTCATTGTGAAGCTGCGCCATCAACTATAGCTAATAGAAAGAGGTCAGGTTATTCATACTTTTCTCCTGCCCCCAGCTTCATTGGGTCCGTTTGGACAGTTTCAGCAAATAAGATTGTTCAGAGGACCTTGGTTAACCAGTGTATTTCACCTTTATCCCAGGTTTCTACATGACCAAAATAGTTCAGCTTTCAAATTCTATCGAAAGAAAGTATTTGAACTGTGCCCATCAATTTGTTTTACATCATCTCCACTGAACCTCCATGCTGGTGAGAGCACCCTAGAGCGTGTGGAAGGGGAAGAAGAGTTTGAGGATGAGCCCCTTCAGCATGAGGCTGAACTGGAGAACCCAGAGTTGATTCCTGAGGAGGAGGAGGAGGACGATGATGAGGAGGAGGATGACGATGAGGAGGGAGGTGACGGGGCCCTCGCTCCCAGAGGGGCCTCCAGGCCAGCAGGAGGGGCCGCCAAGTCTGAGGGTTCCGAGGGCAGCCCCAGTGCTGATGGCCTTCCGAGTGAGGTGGCTGAGGATGGACCAGCTGGCACGCCTGCCCTGTCACAGGCCTCTTCAGGGGCCTGCTTCCCCCGGAAGAGGGTCAGCAGCAAGTCGTTGAAGGTTGGCATGATTCCAGCTCCCAAGAGGCTGTGCCTCATACAGGAGCCCAAAGGTGAGTGTCTGGTTGTCAGCACAATGCCTTAGCACTGGCTTCCGTTGAGCACCCGAGGAGGGAGTCACAGTGCTCAGTTGTGGGCCACAGAAAGTAGTGGAGATGGGTGGAGATGTTGCTTGACTGTTTGGAATTATTTACTAGCCCTCAGTCCAAGCTCAGCCAAAAGATGACCAGCTGGCCCCTGTCACCCTTCCCTCCTGTAATTACACACACCAACCTGAATAATACCTCCCCAAATCCCCCCAGCCCTCACAGCAGAAAATCTAAATCTGTGCATGCCCTACAGTTGCCAGCAAACATGAGTTTCTTTGGTCTTATGTTTTTAAACTACAGTAGTCTTAGTGGTTTTGCATACCGCTCCAGAATGTCCATGTGTAGCTCACGTTCCCACTTGGTCTAAAGTTGGTGCTCTAAGGAGATGCTGCTGTGTCAGTCTGTGGCTTGTAGCACCCCACATGCTGCTCATTGTTTCCACTGTTGCTCAGATTCCAGTGAGAGAGCCCTGGCCGTGGAGGGGACAGGCCTGGATCATCTCCACCATATCCTCTCCATGACCTTGGGGGTGCCCAGCCTCTGAGCCCCTAGAAGGGGACTTTAGTTCTTCATCAGTGGAGTAGTCACAGAGACACTAGGAGGTCATGGCGTTTCAGATAGATCATTTGTTGAAGCCAGGTATGTTCCTGTGGTCACAGTAACGGATCCACACATCAGTCCTTTGTCATAAACACGGGGAGTGTAAGTTAAGCAGACCCCCACAGCGGGGCAGCCCTTCATGGAGCCCACATGTTGGGCCTCTGTGCTCCGTGGTCACACCGTCCTGAGAGGGGCCAGGCTGCTGCCAGCGGGGCAGTTCATATATGTGTATGTTCGTGTTTTTTTTGTCTTCCAGTTCACGAACCAGTTCGCATCGCCTACGACAGGCCTCGAGGTCGTCCCATGTCCAAAAAGAAGGTGAGCGTGACCATTTGTGAATCCACACCAGGATGTAGTCGGTTGGAATTTGTTGGTTTCAGGGACACTGGCTGTGCTGAAGCTAGACTCGTACTTCAGACTGGGTGTTAATGTACAAAGCACGACAAACAGCCTTTTCTCTGGGGTCCTTCTTAAAACTGTTATAGGGCGATAACGAGTCCATGTAACAGGTGAGGTCTGATACGTGCACTGGATGGGAGATGACCAAGGCCATTGAGAAGTTCAGATTTAGTGGAATATGATCATGGTTAAAAGAGTGCGCTCATTTCCTGTAAGCTGAGTGTATGTGTGTTCATTGGCCTGTCTACACCTCCTCTGCTCCAGGCCCCATCTGCCCACTCTGAGGCAGCAGCGAGGAGAGCTGGCAGTGACAGAGAAATGGGCGAACTCAGTCTTAGGGGTGCCCTGGGTACAGAGAAGCAGATTGACAGGAGATCAGGAATAAGGTGGGCTCAGGGGGTGCCATTTAATCAGGGAGGCCAGGGAAAGTCTCCCTGACAGGTGACATTTGTATGGAGATCTGGGAAGGGCCTGGGAGAGGCCCCAAGGGGGTTACAGGTCAGCAGGGAGCCCTTTGTGCCCGAGTGCAGTGGGGAGGTGAGAAGTGAATGCAGCGTGGACCCAAGTCATGTGGTGCCTGGAGATGGATGCCTTTCTGTGGGGGAGGCCCTAGGGAACCTGAGGTGGGGTTTGGGTAGAAGACGTGGCCGCCATGGTTGCTATGTTCAGAACAGCCCATGCGGTGGAGGGCCATGCAGAGCCAGGGGGCCAGGAGGGGTGAAGGTGGAGTTGGTGGGACTCAAGGATGGATTGGATATGGAACGGCGAACCCCAGGAGTCCAGGGTGACTCCAGGGTTGTCAGCCTGGGCAGTTAGGAGGATGGAGCTGCCATGGCTGGAATGGGGAGCAGATCATTTGAAAGAGATGGAGGAGAATTCCAGATGGCTGGGCAGATGTGCGGGGGCAGGTGAGGCCAGGCAAAGTCACCTGGGACACATGGAGACATCACAGGTCCCTAGAGGTCAGGGACAGGTGAGTGGGCAGCCGGTGTCCGGCAGTAAGGAAAGCCCGTGTGGCGGCACCCCAGTGGGTCAGATCTGTTCCAAGTGCACCGTCTCAGTCTCAACAGCCAGGTGAAACATCAGTGTGACCCCAGGTACAGCAGGGAGGAGGGACCTTCCTGCACCCAGAGTTTGTGGTCCTAACTGGTATGCCAGCACCCAGGTGCCCATCTGGAGGCCTGGGTGAAAGGGTAGCCTGGTAAGGGGGCAGCCAGGTTCAGCCTCAGCCTGGCCACCTAATCTTGGCCCGTAACTCCTGAGCCTCTGTTTGTACATCTGTGAAGTGGGACGGTTGCACCTCCCCTGCAGGTAGTAGATACCTTGAGGAGTAAACAAGATGCGTGTTACCCTGGTGCATAGCAGGTGGGTATCCTGCAAACTTGAGTGCCTCCTTGAGGCAACTGCAGGCAGACAGCGGGTGCACACCTCAGCACAGCACACGGCTTTTCTCCAGCTCCAGGAAACTGGACACGCTGGTTCCTAGACACAAACTGAACACTTACAAGGACCTGTCTGACCAAGCTGACGACTCCTGTTGTTCCCACCTTAGCAGCTTTCCTGAAAGGGATGCAGGCCTGCCAGCCTTTGCCCTGGCTTCCCCACCCCTCCATTTGTCTTAGCTATTCTTCTCTGGGCCCGGGAGGGCATGACAGACAGCCCTGTTGTCATCTCAGCGGGCAGGTTCCACCTCCTCTGTTCTCTAGGCCTCCTCCTGATGGTGAGGGGCCCCCTAGGGCTAGCACTCCTGCTTGTTGTTACCCCAGCCTTCAGCCTGTGCGTGTCTCTCCTGCACAGCTGTTTGTCCCCTTTTCCTGCCCCAGGCAATAGCATAGCTCCTTCCTCCTTGAGTCCCTCTAAATGCCCTGCAGACTGACTTTGGCCCACCCTGGCCTGCCAAGACCCCCGGTACCCTCGCCTCCCAGCTCCCTGGGCTGTGTTCAGTAGCTCATGAACACATGCTCATGCGCACATGCATCCACACACACACACACACACACACACGCTGCGTCATGCCTTCAGGCCCAACTCACGTCATGTCACTCAACTCTCAGTACCTCTCTGGGTGGTTTTTCTCCTTCTAGGGGTAGAACTGGGGAGGTGACCATGGCTTGCTCCTGAGAGTCTGGAGAGTCAGGGAGGCGTTAGGGGGTGTCAGTGCTGGACTATGTCCAGGCACAGTCCAGGGCAGACCCTCACTCCAGGCACTTTGCTGCAGCCCACGTCCCACACTCTTCTCTTTCCTCAGAAATCCAAGGACTTTGACTTCGCCCAGCAGAAGTTGACCGACAAGAACCTGGGGTTCCAGATGCTACAGAAGATGGGCTGGAAGGAGGGCCACGGCCTGGGCTCCTGTGGGAAGGGCATCAGGGAGCCCGTCAGCGTGTATGCGGCAGGACTCAGGGCCAGGGCTGGGGCTGGGCATCAGGGCCTGGGGAGACAGGGCTTTCTTTGGGATTCAGGTCCCAAAGTCCTTCGACCTGCAGCCTGATTCTTGGTGCCCTTCATGATGACCGTTGCTTAAAGTTGGTAGTATTTTTTTTAACAAAAGGAGTCTTCAGATGAGACGAGAAGCAGATTATTTACATATGCAGGTGTTCAAACGGCTCCTTGCTGTGCTTGCGTAGACTGTTTAAATGGCTGCTTGAGCCTTGGCCTTCTGGCCACGTTTACGTTGTCATAAAAGCTGAGTGGTGAATCTGGGTAGTTACACCAAGAGCCACTTTCCCTTTTTCGTGAACCCATCACAGGCTAGAACACGGCCCAGTGTGTTAAGCCCTGTTAACATCCGGCAGGCATTTCATTTAAAACTGAGCTTAGCACTGGCTAGGGGAGGCTTTCTGCTGTAATCGGGCTTCTGAGCACTCTCAGAAGGTCCGCATACCTGCACAGGTGAGTACCCCTTGTTCCCACTGTGGATTGCATTTTTCTTTCCTTTTCGTGTCTCTTGTGTGTCCCACATACCTCCATCCCACTCTGACTGCTTCTGCCATTTCCAGCCTTCCGGTGGCCAGGCTCTGGGGCACAGGTGTGGCTAACTCTCCATTTTGCTCCTTAGGGGAACTGCCTCGGAAGGGGAGGGGTTGGGTGCCGACGGGCAGGAGCACAAAGAAGACACGTTTGATGTGTTCCGTCAGAGGATGATGCAGATGTACAGACACAAGCGGGCCAACAAATAGGTATGTACATGAGCTAGTGTGTGGGGCATTCTGCCTAAGCTGAGGTTCTGGTACACAGAGACATTACCTCTGAAAAGTCGGTATTCCAAGCATCAAAACCACCACCACAAAAAAAAAGTCTGTGAGGGAAACAGAGGAGTCTTTGGTTGCAGATGTGTCCTACCTCTCACCTTCCAGGCTTGGCCGAAGGAGTGAGCCCCATACCTGCCAAACACAGCTGCAGCCCACCAGCAGGGCCTGGGCGCAGGGCTCACCGTGGACTGTACACGGCCGCCCCTTGCCAGCTCACCTGGAAACAGGCCGCCACAGAGTGGCCTTGCGTCCCACAGGTGTAGGGGCGAGCTGGAAGCCGGCACTGCAGAGGATGCTACGCACGTCCCTTTCTGAGGGTCTTCACGCCCTTTCCCTTCTGTAGGGCCATGGGCCTATAAATATCCTCGTCTTTCTCCACTCTTTTCACTTTCCCTCCCCACCCATAATTTCCAACTCAGTTTTGAACAAAATTGTTCTCTCCCCGAATAGATCAGAACCATGGGTGAGAAAGATAAGGCTTGAAGCAGCAATTACTCTTAAAACGCCACCTCTGCCCTGGATCTGCCCTGGAGCCAGTGCCCAAGTAGGTTTGGTGTGTACACGAAAAACAAATGTCTCTGCAGTTTCTGGGGCGGAGGTTCCACTGGCTTTTCTTTTTCTTAAAGAAAAAAAGAACTCACCATTTCCGATCTGCTTTTGCCTTTCCCCCTCTTCCGAATGCTTTGGGCCACAAGTCCCCTCCAGATTTTTGCCAGTGCCCCTCAGGAGGTGGTGCTGCCCGCTTAGTGCTCAGGAACAGCTCCTGCCCATCTTCCATCCCAGCGCACACTGCTCTCCAGAAGTGCTCTGTTAGCAAACTTGAAGCCGGAACAATCGCAGATCCTCTTCTTGTTTCTAGAATTTCAACGGGGGCTATAAATCAATAATAGGAAAGTCTGTGCTCTGGTACCACAGCCTGTTGGTCTGAGTAATGAAGCTCTTTGAATAGGTGGAAAACCTTGATTTGGATGAACATGTTATTTATGGAGTCTCATTGCTTAAATGCACCCCCAAGAGACTTGACCAAATTTTAGCAACGGTATAATATAGCTCTCGTTAGTGGGGAGTAAGCATTACACTGCTGAAATTTTCCCCAAATTTACATGTCTCTGGAATCCACAAAGGAAGCGAACTGTAGTTTGATTTTTCTTAAACCACACATGGAGTCTCCTACAAAGGGGGATGGTGTAAACTCTTCAGGAGTCTTTATTTTTTGCATGTGGGGCAGCATAAAGAATTGTTTTTAGGGCGTTTGTACAGAACGGAAAGGATCCTCTTGGGGTGGGCTCAGCAGCTGTTTGCTATTTCAAGGCATATGATCGCCGCCCCTTCCAGCTTCTCCCAGTGCTCTGCTTCTGTCAGCTACATGTGAAATTCTCAGGCTGTGGGAATCTCAGCCCTTCCTCATAAAGCAGCAGTGTTGAAGTTTTAAATACGTGCTAAAATCTGAAAAACTTGGGATCCTGCTGACACTACAAGCTTGGGGGACAGGCAGTGAGTTACTATGTCAGCCGCTTGTATTGGCTGTTAAGAAATGTTTGCTTTCTCAAAGCCGCAGCTCTCCCGGGCTGTAGTCCCAGCCCCTCTGGTTCTGTCTTGTCTGCCTCGTCTGCACTCAGGCCTGTGCCGGCATCTCACGTGCCTGCCCCGTGGCGCCTTTCTTCATGTCAGGTGTAGCCCCCAAGGCTCTGCTTCTAGTTGCTTCTGTTGCTTTGGCAACTGGCGGGTCTTTTTGGCCATGGATATGCTGGAGGTCCCTTAGCAGAGTTGAACCAGCCCACAGGAGGGGGTGTAGTTTAGGGGAACCACAGCTATGGAGGTTTGTCTTCTGCTCCTTTCTTTCCTAATTCTTTTACCAGCCTTCTGTGCTGGCCAAGGGTCAGGTGGAAGGACAGAACTCTGAGAATAGGGCCTCAGTCCCCGGTGGCCTTTGGCAGTGTGCCTGCAGAGCCTGAGTGAGGCACACATCCCACCACAGGTCCTAGCTTTCGTTGGAGCATGGATACCTCTGCCCATCATATTCGCTTTGTCCTAGTATTTTCATTCTGGGCTTTCTCCACTTTTATTTATAAGTGAGATGCTTTAGGAATTCCCAGGGTGTGAGCCCTGCCCCTGCAGCCTCCTGCCACTCCTCGTGGAGTCATCCCACTTTGAGCTGACACTGATTGTGAGCCTTTGGCAAACATCAAAGGAAACACCTTCTTCTTGAGCCTGGAAGTCCTCTGAGCACTCAGGTGATGCTGTTCCTGTGGAGTCGACGTTGAGGCAGTGAAGGCATTGCAGGAGCCAGTGGAGCGTGGTGGTGGGTCCCTGTGCCTGTCTTCGGCCAGGGACCAGTGTGCTGGCCCTCTGTGCCCACTATTGCTCTCTCTGGCCTAGGCTGCTCTGCAGGGAGCATGTGTGCGAACGCGATGTGCGGGTGCATGGTCTTGTCAAAGTCACAGTGTCTTTTCTGTCATTCTAGTTCCAGGGTCTCTTCCGTGAGGACAACAGGCATCCGGAAAGTGCTAACTCATCACTTTGGGTGCTTACTGTCTCTGGCTTGTTTCCATCACTGGAAATCATAGAGAGAATTTTAGCATTTTTGGTCCTTGGTAAAACCTAGAAGACATTTGTGATGTTACAAAATGGAAGTTTTTGGGTTTTTTTTTCTTTTTTTAATCTAAGAAGTTGTGAATGTTGTTAATCATTTAGCAGTTGCAATAAATGTAGAGGAAACCCAATTTTCCATTGTCTTCGTTGATGTGTTTTTAAAATCAGACCAGTCAGGAAATGCATAGTAAATGTTGTAGTGGCTACATGGAACCATGTTGTAAACACTGCTGCCTCCCCACCATGTCTTCTCCTGCCAGGGCCTCTCTGACTGGTTCACCCCAGCGGGGGGCCTGGTGAGTCACCAGCAAAGCCCGGAGGGTGCCAGAGAGCAGGCTGTGATCAGGGCCAAGCACAGTGGGGCAGGCGGGCCCTGTTCTCTGGGGAGGGGAATTTACTGCTGGGTACAGAAACCCGCCTTTGTCAACACAGTAATGTGGGAGCCTCGCATTAGCCGCCCACGACTCGCCTGCCGCCCTCAAGGCCTTGCCTGCTCTCAGGGTTGAGATTCCAGCTACCAGAGTTAGCTCAAGGCCCACCTGGGCCTCCCCAGTCTGAGAAGCCAGCCTCTGGGGCATCTTCTAAGCTCCCTGCTGTTCCTCTGTGCAGCTTGGCCTGTTTCTGAGCCCTCCACCAGCAGCTCCTGTCCCTTCGGGCAAGGAGTGAGGGCAAAGGGCACAGCAGGTGGGCGAGCCTGGCTCCTACGGGACTTGAGGGGTCTCTACCTTGGTGCGGGTGGTGGAGCAGGAGGTGGGCAGTGGTGTCCCCGTTGTGCCCCACAGCAGGGAGCCTGGGAAGGGTTTGGGGGGGCGGTCTGTCAGTAGGTTAGAGTGGACAGATGAGACAGGGCCCCTTAGGAAGCTGATGTGGGACTTGAGCTCTCTGCTGTGTCCCAGAGGACACTCAGGAGTGGCAGGGACCCATTTGACCATGATGGGAGCTTTCATCAGCCACAAACTTGCCACACTTTCACCTTCATCTTCATGAGAGCCCAGGAGGTGTGTGTCAAGACTGCCAGCGTTAGTGCCACTCCCTGAGGAAGTCTCCCAGAACCTGCAGGACCTCACTGTGCCCCCCACCTCCTCTTGGGAAACTGGAGGTGAGGTGAGCAGCAGTGGGCATTGCTCCCCATCGGCCCCCACCCCAGCTCCTCTTATTACCAGTTGGGGCTGGTTAAGGTCACTTAGAGGAGGACACACAGACGAGAGGTCTCCAGCCTAGGATACCTGTCCAGGCTGTGACCCCTGGCAGGTCGCTTTACAGGCCTCGGTTTCCCCTCGGCAATCTGGGAATGTTTTCTTCCAGTTTGGAAGGTAAAATTGCCTCCAGAACCTTGTCATTTTGGACTAACTGGAACCTAAATATGCCACTCTCGGCCTGGAGCTCCCCTTCTCCTGCTCCCTAGCTTCCCCTCCTGGACACCTCAGGACCGCATGAGAGGCAGAGGGTGCAGCCAGGGAAGGTGCAGTGGCACCAAGACTAACGCGGGGTTTAAAGCAGGCCTTTGGTGTGTGTGCTTGGACGAGTGTGCATCGTGTGCGTATTTCACACAAATGTGCACATTCAAGCAACGCAAGTACATTTTCTTTGTAAAAGATGAACAAACCCCAGATACATGCAGAACGAAGCACAGAGGAAAATTTCCCATCTTCCCCACTCCCACAGATCAATAAAGTATAAACTAAATAAAATTAAATACAATTTTTCTTTTGCTGAGGAAGATTTGCCCTGAGCTAACATCTGTTGCCAGTTTTCCTCTTTTTTTCTTTTATGTGGGCCACCACCACAGCTTGGCCACTAACAGGTGAATGGTGTAGGTCTGTGCCCAGGAACTGAGCCCAGCCCACTGAAGCAGAGTATGCCAAACTTAACCACTAGGTTACCGGGCTGGGCCCAAATACTTTTTTTTTTTTTTTTGAGCAAGATTAGCCCTGAGCTAACTGCTGCCAATCCTCATTTTTGCTGAGGAAGACCAGCCCTGAGCCAACATCCATGCCCATCTTCCTCTACTTTATATGTGGGACGCCTACCATAGCATGGCTTGCCAAGTGGTGCCATGTCCACACCCAGGATCCAAACCGGTGAACCCCAGGCCGCCGAAGCAGAACGTGTGAACTTAACAGCTGTGTCACTGGGCCGGCCCCCCCAAATACAATTTTTAAAAAATAACAAGATACACCACGTGTGCTCCCTGGAGACTCAGCTCACTTCACATGACTGGAGGTCTCAGCAGCCTTTCCATGTGAGGGAAATGTTCAAGTACTGTTTGTGAGTGAGTAATACCTGGCCCAAATCGAAAGACACGGAAATGTGTTCTGTGGAAAAAGAAGTCTCCCCCACCCACAGGACACAGGTCTCAGACCCCTTGCGTGTAGACGGTTGTATATACGGGCCTACTTTAAATATAACCTTTAAAAATGCAAATTACACTTCACTGCACAATCTATTCTTCCGTTGCTTTTTCTCACCAAAACATTTTCTTCCCAAAATTTCTATCTATATTTGATAGATTGTCGTTTGTCACACAAGCTCCCCACCAATAGCCACTGGGGTTGTTCCCAAGCTTTGGCCCCTACATGCTAGAACATTCTCTTTGTGGATAAGGCCCTAGAAACAGCATTTCTGGGACCAAAGCGTCCTCCCCAGGCTCTCTCCACCTCACTGCCTCCCTCCACAGTGTTCCTGTGCCATCTGATTTTGGGGGGCCACTCTCTTGGCATCCCTGTTTCCCCAGCCACAACTGCCTTGACGTGATGGGGCTGTTGACCCCTCGAAGCCTCCACCGCAAACTGTAGCCTGCAGTCCCTGACCCCTCCAGCCTACATCCCTGTGCTCTACTTGGGGCACAGGCCTGGCTGCCACCCCTCTCTGCTTCCCCCAAATCCCTCCACTCTGACCCTGTCATCCCAGCCCCAATCTCCCAAACCTTGACCACCCTGGGTGACCAGGTTCCCCAAGGGGGCTGCCGGCCTGCGCAGGGGTCCGTGCCCCTCCAGGCTTTGATTCCCCTCCATCTAGTGACTACTGCACACCCACCATGGGGATCGGTGGCCAGGGAGGGGCCCTCCCTGAGGCTACTGGGCGGGGAGAGACAGCCTCCATTTCCTCCCCTGAAATGGGGCGGTGGGCTTGCGGGTCTGAATGGACCACACTTTATCTTCATTAGTTGGTGGGCACGGGTTGTTTCCACCTTTTGGTGATTGTAACTAGTGCTGCTGTAAACGCGCATGTACAAGTTTTAGTTTGCACACCTGTTTTCAGTTCTTTTGGGTCTCTACCTAGGAGTGGATTACTGGATCATGTGGTGACTTGATGTTTAACCTGTTGAGGAACCACCAAGCTGTTCTCCACCGGGGTTGTGCTGCACTCCGGGCTTTTTGCTAACCACTCTGGGCTGGTGTCTGTAAAAGCTGTGGTCCTCTTCCTCATGGGGCAAACCCACTGAGGTCAACCCCAGTCGTGACTCTCGATATCCACAGATGTGTCGGGAGCCTTGCTCGTACTGACAGAATCCTGGGGACAAAGCAAATAAAAGAAAGGAAGGGAAAGTTAAGGGGCCTTCAGATGTGAAATATGATGGAGCTTTTCACAAAGGAATTCGATCCTGGAGGATAAAATCCAGTTGCAAAGTGTGAGGTGGTTTCTGTAGAAATTTTGTGAAATGTGGACAGATGCCCATGTACAGGGACGCTCAGCTGTGTTTGAGCACAGAGAAGTTTGGGCCACTCCCAACTGTCTGTGTGCTGGGCGAGTGGGGCTCTTCCTGCCCCTCCCCCCGCCATGTGCTGCGAACGCACCCTGAGCAGCTTGAAAAGAAACCCCTTGAAGAATATTGAAAGGAAGTAAAACCGCCGAAGCACATGCAGGCGCCAATTGCCGGTCTTGGTTTCGGAGGCACCTGTGGTCTTAGGAGAAAAACACCAGATTTGAACGGAGACAGTCTCTCCCTGTGTCAGACGTATGAGTAAGCATCGCTTCCTCCCAGGACGGCTGTTTGCAGGCTGCTGGGAAAGTCCTGCCAGCATCTCCTGGCAGTCTCTCCATGGCCTTCCTCCATCTGTCCGTAGGTTCACTCACTCACTCATTCGCTCACTCCTTCATTCATTTACTCATTCATTCACTCACCACACATTTGAGGAACACCTAACTGCTCCTTCCTGGTGGAATTTTCTATTCAACATAGAAAACCACAGTGAAACTGCAGTCAGAGAGTTGAAGGAAACATCCAAGGAAAAAAGAAGGGGCAGTACTGGGGCCTGGTCTGGGAGGTGAAATGTCATTGGAACCCTAAAAGATGTAAGAGCATGCGAGGCAGAGGGAATTGCATGTGCAAAGTCCCTGAGGTACAAATGCCCTTGGTTGTGGAAAGAGGAAGGAGAAGAGGGAGGGAAACAAGGATGGGGGTTTCTGGGGCAGGAGATTTTGTCCCAAGACAATGAGGAGCCATGGGAGGCTTTAGAGCACATCACGGGCATAGCCCTATTTATACTTTTTTTATTGTGATAAAAATTACAGGGGCTGGTCCAGTGGCGCAGAGGTTAAGTTGGCATATCCTGCTTTCATGGCCCGGGGTTCACCGCGGTTGGGATCCCAGGTGCGGACCTAAACACCACTTGTCAGGCCATGCTGTGGCAGGCGTCCCACATATAAAATAGAGGAAGATGGGCACAGATGTTAGCTCAGGGCCGGTCTTCCTCAGCAAAAAGAGGAGAATTGGTGGCAGATGTTGGCTCAGGGCTAATCTTCCTGAAAAAAAAAAGAAAACTCCCAGGTGAACGGGAGGGAAATTGTGGAGCAAGTTGAGAGAGCGCACTCATCCAGCAGAGTCTCGCAGAAGGCAACTTTGGCTCCATCCTGCTGGGAGATGAGGGGCAAGACAGCTGGGGTTCTTGTTCCCCACACTCGTCACCCATTGGTCAGGGCCAGACATCAATTCCAGACACTTCTGGCCCTCTGGTGGGCATGCAGGCAAAGGGCACTCCAGCAGCCCAGAGCAGCCCCTGCCCCCCAACAGTCACGTAGGTGCCTCTTGTTAAACTTGGCCCACTTCAGGGCAGGAGGACATGACACTCACTGCCCTGGCCTCTCCAAATCTATGGCCGGCCCGCAGAGCAGAGCCCGAGGCAAGGAT